GTAACTGATAATAAACTACCACACAAAGCCTTTAAACAAAATCCAGAAAGCAGAACCTGGTTGAGATTAAGCGATGTTGACTCTCCACCATAGTAGTCATTCCTGTCCATGTGAAGCACCTACTCGTATATACCCAGAAAACAACACTTATCAATCAACCAAACCAATAATGCCTTCTTAAAACACATGGCTTATATAACCATTGCATCAAAATCAGATAGTGGGAAAAATCAAGAGGTCAATGAAACATGAAAAGTCATGTCAAATCGCCAAAAGCAATCGCATTACAACAAAGTGCCCTCCATTTCTGAAGTCATCACAAAGCCAACATTTTTAAGCATCCTCACTCATCATATCAAGATAAAAAAACGCGAGCTCAGATCATACAATCGGAGATCTAATCTGAAAGAGATCCGTTCATCATCATATACCAAAATAAAAGTAGAAATTCCAATCCGATGAAATCAATACCCAAAAACCGATCATGAATCAAAACAGAGAAAAGAAAAAAAAATCCAAATATGAATCGGGGAAAAAGGATCGAGACCTTGACACCATCGACGGAAAGGAGACCGCTAAGGATACACTCCTTGAGACCGGTTCCGAGAACAATAACCTCGTACTCTTCATCCATGGCTGATCCCGAAAGGGTTCGTGAAGAAAAGAGAGAGAGATCGATGAACACACAGAAATAAGTTGGGAGATCGTGAAGGGGAGATTAGTGACTAGAGGTCTATCAATCTTATTTAGAAGAAGAAAAGAGAAAAAAATATTGCCTTGTTTGTGAAACGAGTAATGAGATTCTGATGGCATAATCGTAAATAAAATAAGTACCACATTTTTAAAGGGAAAAAATGACAAAGGAAAAGTTTGTGGGCATTTTTAAAAGGTAAAGAAATGTGGGGGAGAGAAACAAAATATAGAAAGAGTGAGGGGCGTAGTAGATAATTTTGATGTCTATTTTTTCGTAAGCAACTCACTTACAAGACAAGTTACGAGTCATTTTCGTATATTATTACAATAATAAAAGGAATAATGATAGCATTATTTAGAATCTAGATGATGACAACATTTTTTTTATATATATAACGAAATAATTTCAAAAGTTAAATCATTTTCCGATTGATGTTGATACTTACTAGTTTTATATAAAAGTGTATATATACGGTATTTTTGCAAAGCTTACACGCATTATAGATGATAATACGACTTTAATAATTCACATGATTGTGGTCTTGTGGGTCATCAATAAATAAAATAAACCAATGTTAGCATGATAGCATCTTCTATTGCATCATCATCCATTGAACATTTTGCAAATATTGTTATAGGCTTAGAAATCCATGAATGAAACGCGTTTAGTAATCAATAAATAATTTTTGTTTATATGATTCACATTTAATCAACGATTCAACTTATAATTCAAACTTAAATTTAAAGTATATACAAATATACTAGATGATTGGCCATGTACTGATGTACATGAAATCAATTAAGAGTTGGTCTGTTAATTCCAACACAAATTCGTAATATATAACTTATACATATATTAGGGTTGAAACTCAAATCTATCATAATCCATAAGACTAAGACTAAATGTGCTTTCAAAAATAAAGATGAACAAAAATAATAATGTGTATATTGTCGAGTGCATTTTTAGATCCATCCCTTTAAGTTCCAAATCCTTCGAGATTTGACCCCAAAGCTCAACCTCTTCCATTTTCAACCTTTCCAAATGCGTCATCCACTTCCACTATATGTTTTGTTTTCCTTTCTCTTTCTTAACGTAAACAATACTTTAAGAAGAAAAAAGATCGAACATATATAAAACTATATAATATGCTATAACATATTCGCTAGTAATGTAAGTGGTGAAAAATATTGATGCAAGTATGCAACTAATGATCTTGGATCCGCTAAGTACAAATAGCATTTTCGTAAACTTGTAAATACATGAATTTGAATCCAACTTTTTATTAAAAAAAAAAAATCAAAACTATCAAACGAACTTCGTTGACACCGGAAAAATATGCAATCGATTTTAATCAATAAGAAAACGTAATATATTGTGTAAAGATTGAGGATAAAAAAAATAAAATAAAAAGACAGGTTGAATTATTCTGATTTAAACTTTTAAATTATTTTCCGTCAAAAAAAAAAAATTTTATTTTGTCTGTATATGATTTGTAGGTTCATTTGAGTTTTCGTAGATTCTGAATTCCAATGAAATTTAACAGCGAGCGACGACGAAGAGAATCTAAAAAAAAATTAAGATTCGCAAATGTAAATAAATCATTGAGAATATATATTGTTTATAAATAAAAGCATACTTTTTTAGAATTAACAATTAAATTAAAAAAAAAAAAACCAGAACCCGATGCACAGGGTTTTTCTCAGC